TCGTTTTTGAATAATTCTTGATATTTTTCTTTTGGCCAATCAGATCTTTCGTATACTTTTTCTTTAGTACCGCCAAAATCAAGAGTTTGAATCTTTCTGATTTGACTTGGCTGGATGCGCTTGATGTTATCAAACTTACAAAATTTGAATTGATGCTTTGAAAAAAACAATGTTATTAGTTAGAGACGTATTGTGAAAATATTTCATTGTCGGCAAATAATTGTAATTACCTTGGAATGTCGAATTTCGCTCGTAAAAGGTCCTGACCTCGACAATATTGTGAAAGACCTTGACACGACCTTTGCAGGTCTAAGTTGTAAAATGCGGAAAAGAGGCCGAGTCAGGACAAGTGGAGAATTCATCTTTATCGATGTCAACCGAATTGATCGAATGTTTTTTTTAATACCGATTAAGTTACACAACTGATAATCGTTATCAATGATTTCAAATTCCTTTTACAGAAAGTTGTGATATAAATTATCGAATGTTGAATTACTCATTATTACATTGTTGATGATTCAACTTTCGTAATTTTCTTTGTATTGATAAGATTTTTACAAGTTTTTATTTAAAAATTATTTTTACTTCATAGAAAATAAGATAAATTTTCAAAAAAAGATAATAAGTTCAATTTTATATAATAATAAAGAAAAAACATTGACAATGGTATAAGAGTTAATAAATTTAAAGGCAAGTTTTTTTGATATATGATTTTGATTTATAAGATTGTTGAACTTTTTTGATAGAAAGCAGAACCTTGTTTTCGATTTCGAATTTCAAATAGCAACAATATTAATTAACATATTTTATTTATCAAATTTAAGATTTTAAAAATATATTTTAAAATTTTTAATTAAATTATTTCAATAATTGATAAAATTAGTAGTGGCAAATATTGTAGAAAGAATATACAAGAAGGAAGATATTTTGTAATGGGAATATTTTAAATTGTTTTAATATTATAATACAAATATATTAAATTTATTTTTTTTTTTTAATAAAATTTATTTTATTTATTTATTTATTTTATTGTCCGGAGCATAGCGTAGGACATATATACCGTATATGACCGAAAATAAGAAACCCAAAAATAGAGGATTTTTTCTTAAAAAATTAAAGAGTATCTTATTT